TGGCACCGCCCACTTATGATCACATATAAGTATATCGGTAACCGTTCTACCAATTTGTACCAAACTCGGTGTGGTTATTGTGCTTGCCACATATAAGCAAAACGTTGAAAATTATTGAAATCGGACTAAAATAACGGCCGCTTCTCATATAACGGTAAATTTCAGAAATGCTTGAAACTTCAATATTTCAAAATTGAAGGACGCTAATTTACTCAAAATTGATACACCCCGGCTTACCATATAGCGGAAGGTTTCGGAAAGGTGAAAAAACATATATTTAATACTTGCGCCGGGTATTTAATGTTCGGCTCCGCCCGAACTTAGACTTTCTTACTTGTTTAAATTGTTGTTGCTTTCCACAATAGTTTTTCATTGAAAACGGCCTCAAGCTCAATAAAAATTGTTGAATATAATTGTTATAAGGCCATAAATAACAAAAACAAATTAAAATAATTTAATAAAATAATATATTAAAATAATTTATTTTTACGCTTCCAAGGAAAAAATGCTTCGCCTACTAAAATTTTTAATTTTTCTAGGAGTAGAACTCTCTTTAGTCAGTTTTAGAATTTGATAAGCTAAGGAGCCGTAAAAGAAGGAAGAAATTTCTACTTCAGCAGTTTTTAAAACTCGCCAAAGACGAACATTTTTATAACCCCAAACACTTCTCAAATTATGCTTTCATACTAGTAATTGCTAAACTTTGTTATTTTCAGCAAAATAAAATGCCCTTTGTTATACAAAGTTTTATGCATATTTTTATTGCTTTGTTAATGTCGTCTATTTCATCTGTACGTCTGAATTAACAACCGGTTTGCTGTATTTGTGCTAAATGTGAAATTTTGTATACATACACATTCATATATATTTACACGTGTTTCATATGTTTTCCCTTTGTGTTTTTGTTTTCTTCTCAATTACAGGTCTCATTAAGCATATCCATTTTACTGTCACTGACTGTGTTCTTTTTGCTGTTGGCCGAAATTATTCCACCAACGTCATTAGTTGTGCCATTATTAGGGAAGTTTGTGCTCTTCACAATGATACTGGACACATTTAGGTGAGTTGTTAATTTATTATACATGTGTACATATACATACATAAGTATGTATTATAATATTTGTATATGTATTATGATTAAGCAAAACTAAGTGTTGGATGGGGAGTTTTTTATATCAGGCTGATTAAAGTGTGTGTGTGTGTGTCTAAAGTATGTACATATTTTGAGTGTGTGTGAAACAACCTAGACCTATTGAAAAATAATTTTTACCACGATAAGAGTTACATACTATTTTTATTGAAAGCCAATTTTGATTTATAATTCTACGTGTATTTCAATAGTATTCTGAAACAGTGTTGCCAAAAAAAAATTTCTTTGGAGCAAAATGGGTCAAAAAAGAGTTAAATAATACTTCTTGATAGTAGCTACATTTAAGAGCTACATTTTTTTAAGTTGAGGTGCAAGTATCTTATTTAGCCTTTCTTCAAGTCTTTACATTAAATAGCCCTTTTAGGACTCGAGCAATTTGTATTTCTATACTTTCATTTCATACATAGAATGCATACTTCTTGGTGAAAACTAATTCTAAGTGGAATGCGTTCATGAAAAAATAGATTTCCCCATATTTTTACTTGATAAAAGATTTAACCATTTTCTTCACCTTCATAAGAAATAATGGCTTGACAGGTTCTGATCTCTTTTCCATTAGCTTTGAAGCCATGGTGTGGATAGCAGATATTTCTGGCAGAATCTCAGCCATTCCCGTCGATGAATAACATTTAAAGTCTTCTTTGTTCTTTGTGAATTTGGGTGATAGCCTGCAAGCCATCCATAAATGTTTTTTTCTTTTGGAAAAATATATAACAGCAAATATAATAAAAACTCCAACTAAATTACAATACCATAAAAAAGAGTGCAAAAAATACGACAATAAAATACAAACAAAAAATGATATTTGCCACTAAATTGCCTTTACGTTTTCATCAATTTATTCTATTCACACAACTTTTGTCGCTTCCCCGAGTTATTTTTGTTACCTTTCTCATATTCTTTAAACAATCTTTCACAACTTTTTTGGAAAACTTTTTCTCGCTCACAATCCATATTTTAATGCAACTTTACCACCCGTTCACCAAAAGTTATTTCTTATTGTCATGCTGGCGGAAACTGGCATTTTTCGGAAATGTTGGTGAATTTCTCAAATTTCGCGAAAAATGCAATGACTTGGCGTTTGGCCAAGCGGCAGAAAGCAGAAGTGATAGCCGTATTGGCGGTGGACGCGACTGCGTTGTGAGCTTTTGTGTGTATTACCGTCGATGCAACCATTGTTGGCGTTAGAATTTGCGTTGGCGTCGTTGTTGCTGCCAAAATTGTTGAAAAAAATAATAATCTTTTTAACTTGTTTCATCACAAATAAACACTTGGCAGTTGTGTGCTACACAAGCAAACTTAAGAAATGTCGATTTTTTACTTTTATGCATACATACTTATGGTATGTGCATATGTGCATATACACAATGTACTATATGTTTCCCTCGCCAAAAGTATTAAATACACTTGGAACAACACCTTTGGCAGCAATAGTATGATGCAATCGCTATACGCTGGCCAGCTTACATATGGGTATTTCCTGGGTTACGGACGCGACATCTGTACGACTTTACAGTTAAATAAATCATACGAAAACTGAAGTCACTTGTAAAAAAATTTGCTGTTGTGTAGCTTTTACACCGTCCTTTGGTTGACAAAAAACTAGGTGCGCTTGGAACACTGAAGTCGAGAAAATCGTTGAAAAGTAGGGCATAACGGACGCGACAAAACCAGAAGTGATTTCAGAGTACATGTTAAAACTAAGCAAAACTCAGCGAATCGTGTAAGGTTTTCCTTTATTAAACATTCTTTAAATAAAGTCTAATTATGGACCGTCACAACCAATTCATTTTAAATCAGAAGCAATTTGTTGTTGATTTAATTTTGAATTGAAATATGGTAACGGACGCGACATGTCGGACGCGACAGATTTTCCCCCCATACAATATTTTTACTAGTAACACATACTAAATTAAATTTTTTATTTAATTTTTTTAGTTCTTCTCTCCACAGTTTCCCGTTTTCAAAACCTCTTTTCGCCATCTGAATACGAAATATAAAGTTATAAAGCCGTTTAAATTCATTTACCTGCATTTTCGGTTTACCTTTTTTGGGAAATGCCCATATGGGTCATTCCATACAATATTTACACCTCAATATTTTTAATAATAAACTATTTCTATTGATAGTATTTTTTTGTTTATATTGTTTTTAATCAAACTTTTAGCGCCAATAAACTTGCATTTTTATGTCGTATATATTTTTATTTTGACTCCAGCGCCATCTAGCGTTTCCATTTTATCCAAATCTGCTTCAACTTTGACACAAATCGGAGCATAAATACGGCTTTTCAAAATATCTCGACCGTAGGGCCACCAAGCCGGATCATTTTTTGCAAAAATGTTACTGCTTACATAACCAGTATATCTATATAATAGAAAGCAACCAAATTGACACCTAAATAATTTAGATGTATGACTTTTGTTTTTTTTCGCGGCAGTCCTTCCGCTGAAAATGCCCATATGTCAAATTTACCAGATATAAATTGTTTTGAAACCATGATAGCGATCCCTAAAAATAGTTTTAAAATTTTTAATTTTCGTGGAAGTTCAAGAAGAACAAAATAAGGTTTACAAAATACGATTTAAAGGTACAAAACTCATATTTTTTAAGGACCACCCTAATTTGTGTATATTACAATATGATTTCTTTCACGCGTGCGCGAACATAACGGTTGACTGACTGTTCTGCTTGCGCGAAAGATATTTATATGTATCTCATAGCGAATAATAGAACTTATGTAACTATGCGAAACTTGAGTTTGAAAATTTTTAAATTGAAAATAGTAAATATAAGTAGTTTCTAAATTATCGATTCCTTAAGTTTACAGTCATTGCCACTTTACTAACTTCCGAAATAAATCAAGAGAAGCGTTCGGGTACGTACATAAGTATTCTAGCACACGATTGCTTACCAAATTCTTTTGATAACAAATCTGTAGCCTGAATAAAATAAACTTACTAAATATTTGATTTTTTGGAAAAAACTAAATAGGAGTACAAATCTACCTCACAGGCTAAATTTATCTTCTCATACATTTCCCGATTTTTTTTTTCTTCTTTTTTATTCCAACCATTCCATATTTTCCCTTTCATTCACTTCATCTGCATTTTTATTGTTCATAAAATGTTTACCTTTATTCATGCCCAACTTGTTTTCCCAGCTAATTAAGTTAATTTGCATGCGGGCAACTCCAAAGCGTCCTCGCAGCTCTCGCCAATTCCCAACGCATCCCATTGAAGCGCATTTATATGCGAATTGAAGCCATGATTTCATCGCGGTCATCAACACAGCCATCAACATTCTTGCTGATCCATGCAACTACAATGCCAATACATATGTACATACATACATATAGGACCACCATATGCCACTTGTAATAAAGTCGCTGTCGCTCATTTTAGTAGCCGGCAAGTTGCCAGCAATACCAGCTGCCAGTGTGGCATTATCCCTGCGATGTACGTAATGAACGGTATGGAGTGTCAACTTTGTCGAAGGGACCATCAGAAAAAACAAAAAAACTCCCATAGCCCATACAAATTTTTTCGCTTTTTTTATTGTGTATACATTTCAGCAGACGGCTGTGCCATGCATTTACTGTCATCAGGGATGTCACTTACTTTGGCTAAGATAAGCGATATTTTCTCTCTCATTCTAATTAAGTCGTTCCCCGATGGCAATTGTTTCACAGCGTGGTCAGGTGAAAATGAAGTATATAAGTACATACATATGTATGTACATCTGGCATTTGCAGTTTAATTAGCTGTACGCTGATAAAACGAGACTTTAGTTAGTTGATTCTTTTGTCTATTTTGCATTTATGCTATTAAATGCATCAGTACAAGTACTAAAGTCTCTAATAATTATTAGTCAAATCTGCTTCATGTATTCAGCACAAATTTTTTAAGTTTTAAAGCATTAATCGTCAGTCAGTTGAAAATTTTCATTATTCTGAAATTTAAGCGCTCCTTAATAAAAATAAATATAGAAAGGAAAAAAATAACTAAACCATCGCTTGTAATCAAAGCAAATGCTCTCCATGACGAAATAATATCTTTTTGATTTATTAAATACAAAATGAAATTGTTATAAATATGTCCAAAAACTTTTTTTTAAATATCAGTTGCATTTATTAATACACACATAATTCATAAGTAGCTTGAATAAACCCAGTGCATGAAAATCAAAAATTTTTATTTACTATCTAAACTTATTATCGCTTAGCAATTGTAGATTTTTAAAAACACTCTTAAAATTTAATCAGCCGCAAAATTGCCCGATTTTCCCACTACGATTGCATTTTCTCTTTTTTCAGTTTTACCCATTTTACCCATATTACCAGTGATGCTAAATTTGTATGTACGTATGTCCCTTGGCCGAAGTACGAATGAAATAAAAATGTATTGGCTTTTCAATTATTTAATGCATAAACAATCGCATTACCACAAAAAGTCAACACAAGAAATGAAATTGCACACAGTTGTACATGTGACGTCAATGTATACAATGTATGTGTATGTAAATATATGTACATATTGACTTAAAGTTAGCTTTTGGTTAAGAAATTGTAAATACTGAGATTGCAATATATTTAAGGTGAGTTAGGGTGAGTTGAGCAGAGTTGAGGTGAGATGAGGTGAGTTGAGGTCAAATAACAGTAGTTGGGATGAGTAATCGACTCCATGATCAGCGACTAGGGGCTCGTTTCTAAAAGTAACAAATATAATAACTGACAGAAATGGACTTTCAAATAAATTTTTAAAAATGATAATGTGCGGAACAAATATCGATAAAATATCCTAGTTAGCAAATTCTTATAACTTCGCTATTTTTTTGTTCAGTTTACAAACATGGAATGGTAATCAAGCTATCTCTCGCTTTACTGACTGAATATCCTGCTTACAACATATCTTTCTTGAAATAAACTTGGCTTTTAATTTTTAAAATATTTTAAAAGTTATTTATGCAAAACCATTTTTAGCAAAAGGATTTAAAACCAATTCATTTGCAGGTTTTTTCCTTTAAGATAAAAGGATTAGATGTTATGAACTTTTTAGGTTACTCCAAAGAATAAAAACTTCAAATGCATTTCTTGCCCCTTAATGTCTTATCTAAAGGGACTTAAAGAGCTACCGCTCTACTAAGTACTGGCATTAGTTAATCATTAACTTAATATAAAAAGGCCCTAACTTATTTTCTTTCGAAATTCAGCTTTGTTCAAAGTCGGTAGATTACTCACTTTGAAGAAATTCCCCACTTAAAAATTTTAGTTTTTGTAAACTTTTGTAACTACTCTGCAAAGATAAAAAAATTTAAGATAGAGCCTTTGTTTATTAAGATAACGAAATACTAGTCTTCGAAGTTTCAATATTCTGTATGTGTACGCTTGTGCAACAAAAATTGAAGACTAGTGTTTTCAGAACAGCTTTGCATATGTCGCCATTGTAAATATATACGTGGGCAGTTCGGTAAGTCCGTGACTTTGCGAGTGGAGGATGTTTTTAAGGCAAAAATACCGTTTGTTCCTTAATATATTCACACTTAACGCGATGAATTCAGTCCAGCGTTTTTTTTTTTAATTATGTATGCATTTCTTAAGGCTTCCGAAATGGGTTTTCAATGGCTGTCAAACACACACTAAATGAGAATAATAGCCTTAGTAGATTGTTTGTAGTCGACAAATTTAAAGTTATTGCGCTGGGCAATCAAAAGGTCACTAACTTATCAAACCTAACCTCGTACATACATAAACATACATATGTATACTTCGGTGTCGTAGTGTATTTTGCTAGCTTGTGCTTTGCTTTGAATAGTGAATAGTCAATGAATAAATTGTATGCATGGACCACGCAGCAATATCCGATACATGAGATAGGGTAAAAAAATCACTCGAAGTGTATTGCATCATCAATTTCCCCAAAGTAATTTATAAATATATCTTGTACACCCTACTATTTTTCTGTACCCTTGCTATGCAAACCAATATAGTACATACGTACATACAAACAAACATTTTTTCATATTTATGGTTTTTTCTATTTTCTGCAATTTGCAATGCTTTCCGGTGTGCCGATATGGACGCAACATGGCTCATTGGTCATTGGTCATGCGCTGGTCGATCCCGCACGAACGCCATACCACGAAATGTCCTGCAACCACGACGAATCGCCATTCTAATACCGCGAACACGCTTGCACTGCATTCTCCGGGGAACGACTCTACAGTATATGTGTGACGGTGGTAGTGCTCAACATACATTTCCGCTCGCCACAGACACACACAATGGCGCCCTGGGTGCGAACGGTGTTCATCAATCAACTGCCTCGCTTTTTGGTCATGCGACGACCACTGTATCCCATCAGTGAGATGATGTGAGTAAAAAATCCAATGGAAAAGTGTGGGATGCCATTTAATTTTTATAACTAAATAAATTGATTTTAAATAATTAATCCATTTGGCTTTCAGCAAATCATCGCGACGCTTGATGGTTCGCACCTGCAATGGATTTGACTTGGGCGACCAAATACCACCGGTACCACCGCCAGCGGCCTTGTCGAGGTATATATCTACACATTCGGAAATTTGCTTGAGAAGTTATCCATTTATAAAATTTTTGCTTTCCCACCCCTACAGAATGCATCACAGCCCTAAAACGACGTCGCGCAGTACCTCGCCACATCTGCAACATCGCGTGCAGAGTCTCAATCTGCTGGATGACTCAACGATCGGTGGTTTAGGGCTCTCTACCACCGGCACCGCTTCGGCGACTGGTCAGTTCTCTACACTCTACCCCTCCAATATTTCAACTGTGAATCAACAGACATCGACCACGTCATCGCTCGTGGACGCACAACATCATAGCCAATACCAACAGACTGGCGATTCACTGCTCGATCACCCGCTAACGCCAACCAAGTTCCGCCAACAAAAGACTTCCACGTCAGTACAGACGAATGGCTTCGACGGACCATCCACCTCGCAGTTCGGACGCCTCTACCAGCAACACCAACAACAACTGCCCAGCGGCGCCATCTCAGCGTCCACTTCAACGCTACATCACGTCCACACGCATTCGGTGGGCGTGGGTGTAGGCATTGGCTTTGGTGCGACCAGCACCTCCACGCATCATCTGTATCGCCAACAGTCAGCCTCATCTGCACAATTCTCGCCCGTCCCGGCACCACTACATCCCCACCAGCAACATCAGTCGACCACGACGTGTGATCTGCTGGGTAATAGCAATGCGAATGTGATAAAGTCAACGACCACCGTGAACTCGGTGGCGACCGCTTCAACGCTGGCGGACTCCTGCTGTAGTGGCATACAGATACATCAAGGTATGGGTGCTGGTGCCGCGTGTCAATCGTCTGAACAGCCGCATCCACATGGTGTGACTGGTGTTGGTGGACATGGTGCGGTTGGCGGCGCCCTGCCGTGTGAAATACTGCCAGCGTGTCAGCGAGAAGAGGGCACGCATTGTTGTCTGAGCGGCGGTAGTGGGGGCTGTTCGGAAGGCAACGAATTGCGGCATCGGTGGCATGGCTGTCCCGAGCTGCTCAAAGCCATGGATGGTGTAAACTATATAGCGGAGCAGACGCGCAAAGAGGAGGAGAGCACAAGGGTGAGTACAACAGA